AATGACTCGTTTGACGGCGCAAATTGCCTCTGTTGTAAGAATGAGATTTTAGCTTAGCTCGATCTCCAATTACCGGTCTGGCAGAATGTTTACGTTTGGATGATGGTAAATGAAATCAAGTTAAATATGTTTGTTATCGTTACAGCACAATTTAGCTCACAACGTTCCTTAAATTTTTTTATCGAAAATACGCACTTGAGCTTATGCGTGTTGGTAGAATATTTTACTTTACATTGGTTGAAAGGATGTAAGGTTGTACTTGGCATAAGGATAAGTTTTATCTTTTGAAACTCAATTAAATAACATTCTATTTATACTGAGATGTTAACAGCTCCTTTCAACCTGGCCGCGTCTACCTTTCTCTATAGCCTGTGCTTTTTATGAGCTTATACGCGTACGTGGAATATTTTACTTAGCGTTGGGTCGTGCTTGAGGATAAGTTTTACTTTTCGCAATGAAATTAAACAAGATTCAATCTTTACTGATATGCTGACAGCTCCTTTCAACGATGGTAGTAAATTTAGATAGTTCTAGTCCAGTAAAAATAAACGCATATTTAGTTTTATCACGGCTCAAGGATACGAGTACGCTTGACAGTTGACCAATCTATCTATCTATTACTTATTACTTTTACTACTTTTGGTAAATTAAGTTTACGATATTGTCCATCTTTGCTTTTGTATAATTCCAGTATGTAAACTGTTAGTTTAAATACTTTATCTTTTGAAACTTTGTCGTTGTCAAGTCTGAACATTTCAATCCTGTTCAGTTTTAACATTGCAACCGTGATTTCTTACCAGAGTTTCGTTGTTAGTACAGTACGTTTACTCGCCCGGTAAAAGGATGGCCGATGATTTATATTCGTATACAAAAGTTTACTGTAGCTGTAATAATAACATTTTATCCAAAATCTTAAAGGTGTAAATATAGGCCTAGTTTACAATACAAAAGAGTGCAAAGACAATTTGCCGACTGAAAATGAAGTGATAACGTGTTTTTATGCGCTATACAAATTATTATAGTATTAAACCTACTCGCTTATTTTATAACCTAATATTTCATTTAATTTGTTTTTTCTAACATTTAATATAGATACATAACTATAAAATTATAAATGATATTAATGGTACACAGTTCTTTCAGCGATATTCTACACTGCATTACTGAATTTCCTTTACGTTCCGAAGCACCAGCACAGCAGCTTGTCGCCGTTTATTGCTACGTCATATACAATATTAAATACTCAATTTCAATAAATATATTACAAATGTTGGCCCCAGAATCAGCCCCATCGGCAGAATCTTGTGCAGACAAGTTTGTAAGTGAGGCGGCGCGGCGTCAACTTGTTGAGAATTTGCTTGTTTACAACCGACATTATACAAACCGGGTTGAAATACACAAGTCAAACACGCCTCCACCGTGTTGAGCTTGGCTATGAATAAAATATCTAACTTGGCAGTGCTCAAACTCTGTCTGGTGGAAATAAAACTTAGTAGTTAACGTTAGTGTATATTAAACTGTTTTAAACTATTTTTAGCGAATTTCCCATATAGGGAATAAGCTGTAGGTCTCATGGTAAGACTTGGACCCGGGACCGATTTGCTTTTTAATTTTAATATCCCTAGAAGCCAAAAACTCCATCCTTTCAAATTCATATATGTAAACTGTAAACTATAAGCTGTATACAAATTCATACAGCATAGATATTTTTCCATTAGCACGATAACTCAAGCAAAAATGATCTGATTTCGATTAAATTTGGTACAAACGTGTAAACCTACGTTTATTCGAACGAGTTCGCGATCCAGCCTGATCGGACCATGGGAACGGGGTTTTATCCCCCTATACGTTTTTGACCCTCAAAACATAAAATTTTCCAAATTTTCTCTAAGCCATTTTGAAGAGCTAAAAAAACAAATAATTTAGTATATTGAAGTGTTTTTGTATGGTCATTGGTTACAAAGAAAGCTGTAAATTAAAAATTACCATGTTATTCTTATAAAGAATAAATAAAATGTTGTAGTTTGCTTGTTTATCGATATGTTTGGATCAAACTTGGCAAATCTATTTATTTTATACTAAGCTATTAATATTTTACTTAAAACACACACTTTATTACCCTCCCTGCATGCAGCAAACCTAGGTACTTCTTAAACCTAATGTTATTTGAATAGATTTAATTGAATATCAAATGAGAAAAATGGAAATTCACTTTGTCTGCAGGTTTGCTGTGGCGAGGGTATCTTATTATATTTAGTACATCCGTTGTTTGAAACTAAACATAGATTTAGGAGAATTTTCAATATTTTTCAACTCACAATTAAAAGGAAAAACGATGATTGATTAAACGTTGGCTGCCAATCTTTTAGTTAATAATAACACTTAAACCAATGTTACAACTTTGTAATGTTAAAATTTCACCAACTACGTGATTAAATAATGAAGCAGTATATTCATAAAAAAGTACAGTATAAAAACGAATAACCAAAATTTTTACCTCCGTACTTCATATTTATAAATTAGTTAAGACTACTGTGTTGTATAAGAACCTTAAGTACAAAAGTAAATCAAGCCCTTCAAAACGTTGATTGTGGAGTTTAAAAACAACTTTGGCTTTGATTGAAATCCGCCAATTGGCTTATGAAGAAGTCAAATGAATTGCAAAACAGGGAAAGCTGTTTGACGGCATTTCCGATTACTTAAAACGTTTTACTCCGACCAGAGATATTTTGACGGAAGTTCGCCACACTTAGTAAAAACAATACAAAACCCAGAACACTAATATTGCTTATTACAGAAACCACTTGTGTATCAATTTAGTTTAAACTAGTGTACATGTTGCTCGAATTCGAGCAATTATTGCAAAGTATTACAGGAGTTATTTCAAAACTCAAGCTCAAACTCAAACATCATTATTTTTGACAGTCGTTACAAACTGCATAATAGCGTCAACAAAATTTCTCTTACAAATAAAAACAATATTTCTTATGGATAAAATCTAAAAACTAAAGATCATTGTTTTCTTAAAAAGTCTTCAACACTGTAACAACAGCGTGACAAAAGAAGACTCTTAACCCCTATGCCAAATTTGTCCACACTATTTTCCATCTTCAGGGGAGTCAGTGCATTGAACAGTTGAATGCCATTGTAAAATAAATTATTTAAAAAAAACAGTTTTGTGCTTTATAATGTCCAAATCGGACAGGTTTCTCAATTTGAAAAACTAATAACAGTTATATTTACAATGAGTTTAAAAGAGTCAATTCAATGATTACTCTGGTGTGTAACTCAGACCATGTTTATCTTCGTTATTGATAAACCTAAATCCCGGCCTTCCAGCCGGTTTTCTCCTTCTCAAAATGCCTCGCTGTACAGGCAACACAGGTCATTGATAGAGGGCCAATTGAAAACGAAAAGTCGTTTCGGGGTAGTGTTAGGGCGTATTTGTAACCTAATAGTTAAGATTGTCCAGGGTCAGGTGCTGACTGTGATGAGTTAAGCATATTACGCGCCACTGTTCTGTAGCTGCGGTCGTTATCACTATTACGCCTCCTGTTTATGTTTCGTTGTCGTCGCGTCGGAGGCATTAAAAGAAAAAAAAAACAAAAAAAAATTATAGCTACACAAATCAACAATAAATGCACAAATTTAAGTTACAATCATGCTAACACGATCCGTTATAGCGACACAAAACAACGATAAAAACACAAATTTAAGATACATCCATACTAAAACGATCCGTCTTGGGGGTTATGTTTACTAAACTCAAATAGTAAATAAATGTACTCAATGCGTTTCATTGAATTGAAAAATAAATAACAGCAATTAAATTATACAGCTGATCAAAATATAAACAATAATGTTCTTCATAAGGATAACATGGGAACTTTCAAAGCCACTGGGGCAGAGCCCAAGGGACTTTTTCAAAAATGTAAGGCCAGTTTGCAAATCTACGCGACACGCTCTTTCCAATGAGACGTCAATGGATAAAATCGGTTAAGAAATGGCGGAGGAGTTCAACCGACAAAGTTTCATGTAGCGTATTAATTATATAGATATAAAATAGGAATGCAAACATTGGAAAATTACAGTTTTGTAAGTGTCCTCACTACTCATTGCAAGATTTTAAGTAGCAGGAGGTGTAGTGCCTAATTGTAAAATATATAACTACTCTACGGATAGCTGCTTTTAAATCCTAAATCGCAATATATTTAGCACTTTGGTATATTTGTATACATATCTTTATGGTACAATTCTTAATCAATATTGTTACCGAATTAAACAAATATTTTATATATTTCAAGAAACCATTCCAAAAGTACTTGTACACACTAATTGTATGTAAAATCGCCCAACGTAGACCTGCAGTGATTGGAAAATTTCAATTTCGTATTCAAAAATCTTCAATTCTATAACAAGCTTTTTGTTTTTGCAAACTACTTTTCACCGATTGCGAACCAATTGATACATAATAAGAGGAAAGTTCTAAAAGCGTTATGTACTGAGAAACGCTGACTCAAAAAAGGCATATTTATTTATTTTTTATCTCTTAAGATGCTGGACTTATCACGTTTCGTTCCATGTCGTTCCAAAAACCGTATGTACCACAAAAAATCAAGCAAGTAGACTCACATGAGCGCCTGAGTGTAAGGTCTGACACTGATGCGCCGCGCCGCGCTGCTGTTATGTGAAACATGTATTCATCTGTGTATTGTATAAAGCCGCGGACTCCCAGAGGAAACCTCCATCCTCGCCGCTCGCTGCTAATGTGATCATAGCCAACTACGACGGCTCTGTTAATAATAAATGCATCATGTCTTTGTATCTCTCTCATTGTCAGGCACATCCCTGGACCCGGTGTATCCTTTGTTTGACTCTGTCGAGACGCGGATGACCATTATAATAGTGTAGTGCATTTATCGTAACAAAGATTTGTATTTTATTAATACTTGTTAATTGTTAAGATTCTTAATGCTGACATTGTATGTATTTTGTTCAAGGTGCTGTAGAGGAAACCCGTTTATCTTGTGACTGAAGACCACGCAAGCGAATCGGTAAGTTATTCAAACATTGCAAGATATAATTACTAAATCCTAATAATACATAACATCTATACCATCCAGTTTAGATGATCCCTTTCACACTACAATAAAATTATACATCAATATAAAGGTATAGGCATATTTAGTCGGTGCAGCATAGCTCATATGAGTTTATCCGTTAAACTAACCGTGAATTAGTTTCATAAGTTAGAATTCTCAAAAATGAGTCGCTTCCGACTATGTACATTTCTTTCGTTAAATATATTTGAAATGTTGAAGTTTATTGGTCTTAAAATGAGTCCGCTTAAATTTTTGTTTGAATAAATGTACATAAGAGAAATTATGTTTTAAATCCAAGCTGTAACTAGCCTGTAATTGTAGTTGGCCCAAGTAACCACTTAAGCAGAACAACATTGGCATAAGATTTACCATGTTTTTAAAGTATAACATAGGGTGCAACAGTGAGTATTACGAACGCTCACTTGTAGCAACATCCTTTGGGTTTGGATCCTCTCAAGATGTCCTTAGCCATTTGTAGGTTGTTATCTGTATACAAGAGGGATGCAGTCACCGTCAATTGGTATAATGCAACTAAAGGTGTGTTTTATATGTTAAAGTTAACACTATATATTCACTAAAGTTGGCTACAAATATAAAATATATATAAAATACAAATATAACAAATATATTATGTTTATATTTGATCTCTGTAAATATTATGGTTATTATTTGGTGAACTACAGTAGCATGTTTCCGTCGTTCTTAATAATTACATCGTTTACGTGATAATCAAGTTAAAACACTTATTGTTTGTTAGAAGAATTCATTTAAATATAAAGAATGTTGTATAACTGTACATAGATGAAGTGATCATTAATTTATTCGTGTCCAAAATTATTACCTCATGTCCGGAGTAAAGATAAATTTATTCCAAAGTGTTTGCCGAATAATCAGTGGATGTGATATTGTGGACACGCCCTTCTTTTACAGTAGGATGTTTTTTGATCCAAGCGACATACTTGAAAGAGGTTTAGTGTGGATGGGAGGTTTAATTTTAATTCGAGGTCCGAATAGGACTTATCTTAATCCATGTTTCACGTTTACCGTTTAATAATACGATAAATAACGAAACTAAATATATTGATGAGTATTGTTACCCATTAGTTTGTTTTTAGAACGTAACACGTCCATTTCAAATACCTTTCTAGACTATCCATTTTGAATAATGCGTATAAAACATTGCATAGTTTATAAAAAGGCAAAACTTTTTTTGGTTGTTATTTATCGTTTAATAAATAAAGCATTAACTTGAATTCTACTCTCAATTTTGTTAGAGTGAATGACATTCCATGTTTAATAAATGATTTAAAATTTGTTCATTCATAGTTGATTAAAAGAGGCGTCACTTCAATATTATTACACGTTGAAATGTAATAGCTTGTTTGCTTGTTTATGGACATTGTTTCTCATGGTATGAAGTGAATGTTCCGTTGAATAAAAATGAGTACACGTTTGATTAGTGTAAGGCAACAAGCTTGTTGTGTTTCTTAATTTGTTGAACATACAACGAGTTTCTACAACGTTGTTTCAACATTTCGACTTCACCGGTCACTTCACTCTTCCCTCATTATAACTTGGAAACACTCGACAATTTGGAATCTAAGTTAAACAAAACTCTTTCCCTAATTTTAATTACGAATTATTCATGAGGTGCCATTTAGTTCTTCGAACTAGCCAAATACTGATAAGTTTGGTGCTATTTTTTTCTTTTAACTTTCATGTGTTGAGCTTAATCTATTCTATATATAATTCAGTTTTAAAAATCTTTGTACAACTAAATCTAGAGTTCTACTGGACCGATTTCATTAATTAATGGGTCGTTGGAAAGCTTAAATCGTGTAGATTTGCAAATAATTATGAAAATTTTGTTTTTGTTATGATTTATGGTGTTAAATTAAAGAAAACGTGTTTTCCATAAGAAATACATTGAAAACGGTGTTTTTCACACTTTTTATTTGGACGCGACTTTTAGCTGCCATTTTTTAATATTTCCAAGAAGTGCATGGTATCAATTTGTAGGAAATTTTATTCTCTTTCAGAATATCACCTTCCACTTTCGTCGATTTCCTCACCATTTAAAAGTTATTTGCAAAAACGCTAAGCAACCTCCGAATTTATAGTAATAAGAAAATATTGAGTTTGGGATATTTTTGTTAAACTTTGTAAAACTAAATCTAGACTTCTACTGGACCGATTTTGTTAATTAATGGGTCATTAGAAAGCCTAACCCATGTAGATTTGCAAATAATTATAAAATTGTGATTTTATTAAATATTTGAGGTGAAAAATTAAAAATAACAAAAATACATTAAAAACTGGGGTTTTCAAGTTTCTGTTTTCAAGATTCTATTTGTAGCCAGCTTTTGGCTGCCTTTATTAAGTATTTTCAAGAATTGCATAGTAGTTATTTGTAGTAAATTTTATTCTCTTTCAGAATATCACATTCACTTTGGCCGATTTCCCGTCCATATAAAAGATATTGGCAATAATCTAAAAGATCTCCAAATTTATAGTGGTGAGAAAATGCTGAATTAGATATATTTTTGTTAAACTTTGTACAACTAAATCTAGACTTCTACCGGAGCGTTTTTGTTACTTAATGGGTCGTTGGAAAGCCTAATTTGTGTAGATTTGCAAATAATTATGAAAGTTTGATTTTATTAGATATTTAAGGTAAAAAAATGAAAAATAAAAAATAATACATTTAAAACTCCTTTTATTCCAGGTTTATATTTTCAATTTTATATTTGTAGCCAACTTTAGGCTGCCTTTATTGAGTATATTCAAGAAATTTATACTAGTAATTTCTAGGAAATTTTATTCTCTTTCAGAATATCACCTTCCACTTTGGTCGATTTCCTCGCCGTTTCAAAGTTATTTGCAAAAACGTTAAGCAGCCTCCAGGTTTATAGTAGTGAGAAAATACTGAATTAAAGATGTTGTTGTTAAACTTTGTACAATTAAATCTACAGTTCTACTAAACCGATTTTATTAATTAATAGGTCATTGGATAGCCTAATTTGTGAAGATTTGTAATAATTATGAAAGTACTGTTGAGGTTGCAAGCAAGATCGTCTGGCTATAAATCGATGATAAATAACTCAATTTTTTGAACAATTTGTGATGGTCGTGATTTAGCTGCGTGCTTTAATGAAATAAAAGCTGGTATTTCAATGAAGGTTCTTAGGTCAAAACAAATAGAATAACGTTATTAGAATAAAGTAAATGTATACAAAACTAAATTCCATATCCAAGATATAATCAAATTTATATTTTCTGATTGAGCGATACAGTATCTTGAACTTAACTGATTAAAACTATCAATATCTCAAGTGAAAGCCTTCGAAGTATTTTAAGACCAAGACATATAAAATAACTTAAATAGAAACAGAGTTACGTATCATTGATGCATATAGGTACTAAAACGATTGTATTTATTGTTGATTCGTGATTCAGCAGTGTGCCAAACTTATGATCGGTAGCAGCGGTAGTCCGATCTTAATAATCAATAGCTCAAATGAAAGCTGGTATATCACTTAAGGTTTTTAGACCAAAATGTATAATGTAATTAGAACTGCTAGAATACATTTTTAATTGAAGAGAAACAATTCTTTCGTCGAGTAATAAATTAGATAAATTTATGATGATGCTTGATGAGAAATATGTGCTTGCATAGCTTTATTATTAGCAAAATTATGAAAATCGGGCAGGTTGAAGAGCCCTCCTGTAAACCATCGCCCGCCTGCGAAACATTGAACTCGAAAAAAAACAAATTTAACTCCCATAAGAAATGTACAGGGAGGCAGTTTGTGCATAACTCGAAATATACGTCAAAATGAATGCCGATGCTTGATGGCAAATCTGCGGCACGTCCATACCTTTAGTTTAAGGCCAAAATTATGAAAATTGGTCGGGTAGAAGAGCTAACCCGACTCGGAAAAGAAAAACCAATTATTTTATAGATGGCAATAATTGGTTTACCAGTATACATAACCTAATCATACGAAACATGTTAATAATTCAACAGCTTATTGTTATATTGTTATCTAATTAATTTTTCTTTGATTAAATATTGTTGTTAACAATTTGCATTTAGGTTTAAAGTGTGTTCCTTATGTTAAATGTGTGATTCAAATGCTATGTGCTTAAACTGTACCATGAATATTAGTGAGTAAAGTGGTGTATGGATTTCATAACCATTATTTTACTAGAGACCGTTGTATTCAACCACAACGGGCACTGTTGCTAGTTTACAAATAAAAGCTTTTACATAATCAATCAACCGAATTAATAATTAATAACTAACGTCATATTATGTAGAATTTGTTTATTAGGGTTAAATAGACATTTTTACGTGTTAAAAACTAGTACGCCCAGACAATTTGTCAAATTGAATTATATAATTTCAAATACAAGTTTTTTTTGTTAGTAAGGTGTTACTATGCAAATTTAGGTTTACAATATAATCACGAGCCAAAATGAAGATTTATTTTCAATTTTCTTTATCATATCGTTTAGTCTAATGAATTACTATTTGTGTAGTCCACAATTTCCGAAATATTATGTTATTCGATCCCAAACCGTGCAAATAATAATGTGCAGAAACAAGTGGCTATTGAATTACGCAAGTAACTCAAATATGATTATATTGTTTTTTAGGCGAAAGATCGGAGAGTTCTCACGAGTTTCGTGAGAAGTGCCAAACTTAAATGAAACATCGGTAAGAACTCTAACGACCACGCAGAAACTAACTGATATCCCACGCGGTGTTCTATTGGTCACTTATAAACATGTCTATCGTAAACCGAGATATCACAATAAAGATTAGACTGGACTATAAAGTTTTATTTGTATGAACAAGTAAAATGTTGACACTTTGTAAATGAATGTCTTTTTTTTAATGTTTTATTTTTGTGTACAGTAAGTTAATTGGTTTTTATAACTCGTACGAA